CGAAACGTTGTGTTCCTCATAATAAAGAAGTTGGCATCCATATATTCTCTTCCTCAGAAATACAGAGATAAATGGAAAGTGTCCATCAGGTATACCATCGTACATGGATTAAAACCCTTATCTGTAAGTAAAATGTATTTCCCCATGAAATATGAATAATATATTACTTAAAAGAAGTAACGGTTAACGAAAACCTTTTATTTCATATAAAGTTGATCTAAAATGGTTGGCGGGTATTGCAATGCGCAGCCTTATAATTGTGGGCGTTCTTTATGTTTGTTTTGGTTTTTTTGGTGTTTAACGCCGTAGTAAGCAATATTCCGGGTATATGACGGCGGTCTGTAAATAATCAAGTCTGGACCAGACAATCCAGTGATTGACATCGCTCCACGCAATTGGTTGGTTGGTTTGTTGTTTAACGCCGCACTCAGCAATATTCCAGCTACATAAATAATCGAGTCTGGACCAGACAATCCAGTGATTAATATCATGATCATCAATCCACGCAATTGGGATCGATGACATGCATCAACCAAGTCAGCGAGCCTGACCACCCGATCCCGTTAGTCGCCTTTTACGGCAAGCATGGGTTGCTGAAGACCCCGGATCTTCACGGGTCGGGCGTTCTTTAACTGCTTTTGAGTAGTATGTGTACATGATCTTCAGTACCTAAGCAACTAGGAATAGAGACACCGTGAACTTGAGCTGAGACATTAACATGAGAATCGTTTCGCTTTATCCTTTGCCCATGGGCAGGCCCATAGGACAGAATATTTTCCTTTGCTCAAATCTAATGTTTTTGTTTTGGATATTTATAAAGCTGTCTCTACAAGTATCAATGACACACAATTCAACTCTTTTAGACTTAATTAAACGAATTTGTGGCGTTATTCAAATATTTCGTTCATTGGCGAAAAGGTTTGGCCCATGGGCGAGAATATTTGCCTTTGCTCAAAACTCATGTTTTTGTTTTGGAAATATATATAAAGGTGTCTTTACAAGTATCATGACACACAATTCAACTCTTTTAGATTTTTTTTATGAAACTAATTCGTGCCGTTATTCAAAAATCTCGTTCATGTGCGTGAATATTTTCTTTTGGACAAAACTCATGTTTTTGTTTTGCAAATGTATAAAGGTGTTTTACACATAATCCAACTCATTCTGACTTGATCCAACTAATATGTGGTGTTATCGAAATATATTTCGCCCATGGGCGAAAAGGTTTGGCCCTTGGGGTGGCCCGTTGGAGAGAATATTTTCCTTTGCTCAAAACCCATATTTTTGCAGTGGAAATATATAATGGCGTCTCTAGATGTATCATGACACATAATTCAACTCTTTTTGGCTTAATCCTACTAATTTGTGGCCTTATTAAAATATACTCTTCAACAAAAAAAACTTTACATAGATGTAAAACCACTTTTTGTCAAATATCTAAAATAATTACATTAACTGAGAACTAAATAAGTCAAAAAGAAAGATGATGTGTCTATAATTCGCGAAAACACATGCAAAGCACATAAACGTAGCGTTTGTGGGTCAATTTTACAGCTTCATCCAAACGCAACCGCCTGTAAAAAACGTGCAGCACAGGATCCTACATTTAGGCATGCAAGCCCCCCTGCTGAATGGGTATAAAAATCCACATCAACGGCTGTTTATACAGTCCTTATAACGGCAGTAGAGGCGGTGACAGAGTCTGAATGCAGCTCAACGGAAAAACGTCATTGGGAGATTACAAGCTGGAGCAACTTAGCATGAAGTGGCCAGGCACTTTGGCGTATCCAGACAGACAATCTCCGCACTGTGGACCCGATACAACAAAACCAACAGAGTTGACGATAGACCAAGGTCAGGAAGACCAAGGGTGACAACCCAAACACAAGATCGATACATCCGGATGCGACAACTCCGAGACCGCACTATCACAGCCACGTCTACAACCACACAGATCCCTGGGGTACGCAGAATATCAGATCAAACGGTACGCAACAGACTGAGGGAGGCTGGACTTTTTTTGCACGAAGACCTGTTCGACGTCATGTATTGACCCCACGTCATCTGGCGGACCGTCTGTTTTGGTGCCAACAGAGGGTTAGATGGGCATGTGCAAGGTGGAGAAATGTACTGTTTACTGACGAGTCCCGTTTCCTACTCACGCGTGCTGATGGGCGCGCACGTGTCTACAGACGTCGGGGTGAACGTTACACCCCCAACTGTGTGCAGCATGCTGTCCTATTTGGCGGCGGGAGTGTCATGGTATGGGCCGGAATTCATCACGGTGGTAGGACGCCTCTCGTGCATGTGGCAGGTGCATTTACAGGTGTTGCGTTACAGAGACTTGATCCTACAGCCTTACGTTCTTTCTCACGTCAACGTTCATGGCGGACAGTTCCAGCAGGACAACGCTTGACCGCATATTGCACGTGCTTGTCAGGACTTCTTACAGCACAACAACATCCAGACATTACCTTGGCTAGTCCGGTCACCAGATTTGTCCCCGATTGAGCATCGGTGGGACGAGTTGGATCGACACGTTCGCAGAAGGAATCCACCACCCCAAACACTTCCGGCGCTTCTTGATGCACTTCAGCATGAATGGCAGCACATCCAACAGCGAGTTATTGACAACTTGATTGCATCTATGGGTCGTCGGTGTCAAGCGGTGATTGATGTACGTGGTGGGCACAACCGATACTGACATTTTCTGTACACCTGTAACATTAACTGTATCGTGTACGTGTGTCTGTCTAGGTGACACGATTAATGTTTTGAACATTGTGTACATTGATCTTCAAACAGTGTTTCAATAATGGTTTCTATGTCCTATTTTGAAACAATCGCATTATATTACATTTTTAATGTAAGTGTCAAGTTTCTCTTTTTGAAGAGTATATTTTGCTCATGGACGTAAATAGTGTGGCCCATGGGCGAGAATATTTTACCTTTGCTTGCTCAAAACTCATGTTTTTTGTTATGGAAATATATAAAGGTGTCTCTCGAAGCATCATGACTCATAATTCAACCCATTTAATTTAATCCATCTAATTTGTGGCGTTATTAAAATATTTCGCCCATGGATAATAATATGGAAATTTTAGCAATTTACTATCAGAACGAAATAAAGGCTTTTTGTTTAACTTTGCCTATGATTGTTTGCATACACGTTTACATAATATTTTGATATCGAACTGTTACATACAAATAGCTACGCCCCAAAAGATGAATAAAAGAAAATTAGTGCACGTTGATATTGTTGAGCCTTAATAATTTCAAAATAGTCTCAAATATCACCTTTTTTTTAGTTTTTGATTGATAATGATATTTGATAATAAATACAATATCACATATCATATCAAATATATCAAAAGACGAAAAGGTCCTCTGCAAGCATAAGAATTTTGTTACTTTAATCATATATTCATATCTTTGATAAGGGCGCCAAGTGATATTCTCTATTCTTACATACCTGTGTGTGAAAAAACAATTAAGATAAGTTGTATCAAAGATATGTGTGATATCGAATTCCAGGTCCATGATTGGTTTCTCGATAGTGATGGCTTGATTGCAATTCATTGATACGTTACTCGTGCTAAAGTCGAAATCACCCTGGTCAGTGTTGAAACTTTATGGTTTTAGGGGGCACTTTATGCATCACCAGGGGCTTGTTAATCAACACTTATGGTGGAAACGTTTTTGTGGACGGTCACACTAGGTACACTGCAGAGCAAAAGTCTTTTACTTTAAAAACTACTTTTTTGTAAAACGTTTGCGTGGCTAAGCGGCGACTTCGCAGAATGTTTGTCAAATTTCTGCATAGTTACACAAACACACCACGGAGCTACTGCGGGACCAATTAGTTTTACATGTCCATGCCAAATGGTGACTGTTTTTCACTATTCATATTCTAATTCAATTCATAATGCCACATCATTACAGTACTCCTTTAAACTTTAAAATTACTAAAAACGAGAACAAAAAATAACTTATATATAGATTATTCTCTCTTTTATCAGCTGCTACGTTTGTATCGGTTGCACTGTACAAAGAAGGATTTTGTCTGTCATCTTGCAGATTTAGACTCAGAATGTGCTCATTTTGATTAGGAACGAAAATGTATTATACAGTTAAAAGTTATACATGTACACTGTAATGGTCCAGGTCCAAAGGAACGAAATGAAGAAAGAGTGTATAAGTGTTTGAATATGGAAGAATACATGTAGGTTTGTTAAATATGACTATACAACGAATTTCAATTCTTACAAGTTTGAATTTATATATGTATACAATTCGTATATTAGTCATGATGAATGTGCATATTTATAAAGATTCCTAAATTTTAAACAAGCCATGCACACCCTTGTAAGGTTGTCATCAATTGTTACTTAAGTATCATTTAACACATTGATTCGGAATAAAACTTTCTCAATTTTTTCAAAGTAAGTAACAATAACTTTTTATTTCGACAGGTGGTGGTCCATCACCATGCTCTACTTTGAGTGCCACGCCAGAGGTGATGTGGGATATTCTGGGACAAAAAAATGTATCCATATCTTGAATATCATCAGCTATGGACACATCACTCCTACAGATGGCTAGCCTTTCTGACACAGTTAATGCAAGGTAATTCTACTGATGTATTCCCTTGACCTTGTATTAAGTATATTCATTCATATAGCATAACACTACTTAACGGAGTTGCTATGAAAACCTATTATGTTAGCAAAGTACCTCCTGTGCATACGTGGTCATACACATAACTATAAAAGCATCCATATTAAATGATGTAAAACTTCAACGCCACAGAATAACCAATCTTGATTATCCACCGAAACAAATCTTGCAAAGTGCAAGATGGTGGTGAAAAGTGAAAAGATCACTAAAAGTCAGTGGTGACACCGGGTGTTCGCGGAAGATATTTCCTCATATCTTTACCCTATTCAGATACATAGATACTCAAAAATAACAATGACTAAAGATTTTTCTGTCCATTTAAATACAGTGAATACAGTGACATGGCAGCACTTGACATGCAGACACTCCAGACCATGGGAGGAGCTGTCCTACTGCATCAACAGTCTCTGTACCTTTACACCCTGAACCATCAGTGCCAGATCCGCCTCATCAACACAGGGATCCACGAAGAGACCTACAGGATGGAGCATTGTCCAGGATCCTGAGTCCTCGTGACAAACATTCCTGTTGGGTGAAGGTTATGATGAGTTACTACACAAAAAACTTAAATTTGAAATGTTTAAGCCTTAAGAAGAAAATCATGGAAAATCAGCTTCAGAAACTGCAGCATGAATAGAATTTATATTTATACCATGTATGAATATCATTTTTGATGGCCAGAGAGTTCACCATATTTTTCAAAATGTAATGTATTTCTTTGAAGAGAAACCTGGTTTTCAAAAGAACATTATTTTGACAGAACCATACTCCTTTTGATCAGTTTAAATTAATTTTTAATATGATAATATTTGCTTATGTGTGAGGTAACAGTGTGAAATGTCATTTATCAATAGATTCAATGATAACATGTCAGAATTTGAATATATATTTTCATTCAACCATATTCTCATGTTTTACTACTGCTTACAGCAACATTGCATTTGAGGGTTCAAAACCCTTGTATTTTGGTGCCTATGACATGGTTAAAATCAATTAATTGTAATACCTTAGCTGACTCAGCTTATAAAGCACTTGTTCCAGTTAAGTATTTCATTCAGCAGTATTGTGTATCTGTGTTGATGATGTCCATTTTTGGGTGTCTATTTCACTAAGTGTAGAAAGTACTGGCTCCGTCTGTTGAGACTATCACCTGACAGGTATGTTTATCAGTACTATAAAAGGTTGTCATCTTTGGTGCCAAGGTTGAATATCTTATTCTGTGTAACTGTGTTTGATATGATGACAAACATGACCAGTTACTTCCAGGAAATTATGACATGTATTGCAGCATTGCTTCTCTGTGTACTTTATCTCAAACAAAACAATTTCAAAATTTGCTAAATTTCTAATATATGTATTCAAAATGCGGGGAGGATTTAAAGGTGTATAAGTCTCAACAATAATTTATTGAAGACTTTATGTATTATGGTTCATTTGCCTTTACTACAATAAAATCTGACTGGCAGATAATGTTTCTTAAATGAAGATAAATGTATCAGCATCAGTTGACTGGGCAAATGCATTGCAAAAGAACACATGACCATGTTTAATGAACCTGGAGATTCAGAAATTATACATCATAATTTAATAATTACAGTAACAATGTCAATTTTAATGATCGGTTGTAATAAATTGTTTGTGAATTATAAAAAAGGAAAGCCTTGTCAGTTGTTTCGTATTTGTTACTCTTCTTTGTTAAAATAAACTGTGTTGTTTTCTGATACTTTTTGAATATAATTCCTTAAATAGTTGTTTTACTCAATTAAAAGAAGAATAATCACTCACACTGAAAGTGAGTGTTTGCAAAGTGATTCCTGGAGGTCAAGGTGTGGCCAGAAATATCTCCTTCTCTGAAGGGGGCTGTCATGCGGTCATCGGGAACAATGGAGTCACTATCTGGTAATGGGATATTCCTTATCTTGGAGATGTTATGCAGAATTCCACAATAAGTAATGATTTTACATGCTTTAATTGGAGAACCAGTTCAGAACTTGTCACACACACACACACACACACACACACACACACACACACACACACACACACACACACACACACACACACACACACACACACACACACACACACACAGAGTCACAAACACACAGAGTCACACACACACAGAGTAACACACACACACACACACATTTATAGAATTGTGTGTATTAGAGTCAACGTGTTCCATATGGAATTTTCACAAAATAGTTTTTGTTATTTTACAAATTGAGTGAAAAATCTGTCTGTTTTATTTATAATGATAATGAATTCCAAACATGTTTATGCTCTATTTCATCACTCAGTGATCGAACATGACAGGATTAAAAGAAAACGAAAGTATAACGAATGTATAAATATCTTATCCTATCCTAGCATGAGTAGTCAATTGTGAAGGGTCTAAGTCCTTTTGAACTCTAATAACGATAATCGATTATCCAGTCTGTTAACTGAATGGACAGATTTTTAGTCCCTTTATATAATGACTGAAATATCTAGGCCTTTATTAAATTGCCTAAGTGAATCACATTTAACACATTGACTGAAAGATATATATCTAATTACAGAGTCGGCCTAATTTACAGGTGATTCTACAATACTTGCTCTCTTTCAATAACAATCTGCCACACCACGCCTGAATAAACAGTTATGCGGGTGTTGCTGTGGGCAAATACCTAGCCTTTATACATGTACATTTTTTTTGTAGATACATGTATTACGTATTTTCGTTAATTGTGGATATATTAAGCACAAAGTCATAAAAAGTTATGAAACATGAATTGGTGCCTTGATATACAACAAGAAAGAATATTGTTTTTTCTCCGCTACCCTGATGTGTTTCATCGTTAAATGTTCACTCTATACCATGTGTGTTTGGAAGCGATATCCAAGGCGCCGCCCAGTAGACACAGATTGTGTCGTTCGTTTCGCGTGAACTACCATCCGGCTTCGTCACCCTGTAGCTAAGAGTTATGTAATCGGTACACAAATCACTTCGTCAGTGTGGAAGGAGTTTGAATTACGTCCGCCACTGGCCACAACAATCCTCACAGTATAAAAACATTCTACAAGGTCACTGCCGTTCAAATAACTTCGTGACGCACGTAACTCTCGTCGACAATGGCTGTCAAATCTGTCTGCTACAGCTACCATACAATCCTCCCTGTCACAACTGGCGTTTAACTGGCTTTTTCAAAATAGTAATAGTAAAATCGTCGTTAGCAGACTGACGTATGTCGCACAGAGTAATCTTATTTGATAAAAAAACAAAAAACAGTAAGTTAGATAACTAGAAGATCAACTGGATATTACATTCCTTATATCAAGTGACGGTCCTGTTTGTGAAAATATGCACTTTTAGAGACTAATAAAATCCATTTTAAGACCACATAGACAATAAAGCCAAATACAAAATGTCTTGGTATCATTTGGTGTGTATTAGTTGATCGGAATGATCTGAAATGTTATAACGTTAGATTAGAAAGGAAAAACGTAAATGTGTTTTATGGTGCACGAAATTTGGGAACACCCAAACACTCTGTTTAAAATCAGTCACTGACATGAGCAATAAGATTAAGCAACATCAACATGCATAAAAGGGTATAGAGAAAATGGTGGAAGCAAATTGAAATAGATTTTAATAAGACAGTATTGTACTAAACAAACTGCCTGTGCACAAGCGATCCCAAAACTTGTTTGACAGATTTGTGTTGTATTGTAGACTGACGTACAGCAAGTGATTTTCATGCTATACGTAGGCTTGCATATACATCTTACACATTCGGATATACCACCTGTATAAAGTATTATGAAGTTGAGAACTAAGATAGCGACCATTACCTGCATCCACTCACGGAAGCAATTAAAATTCTTGCGTGTATGCTGTCTCCTCTGAAAATATGCTACACTAAATTATTTTATACTGTAGTAGATTTGGTAATGAATAAAACTTGGTAACTCAAAGTTACTTGGTGTGCCACCGATAGATATGATTTTCAGTTAATTGACAGCTTGGAGTAATAGGGATTACGTACATAAAGTCATTTTGTCTCATTTTTCTGCTAAATAGAAATTTTAATTGTCATGATATATCACAGCTACTAAAATCTGGTAGTTTTTTTTATCGGGTAAGAAGAATTGATTCGCCTAGTCATACAGTCATTCGTACCTGATCGAATGATTGGCACGAAACGTTCCGGTAGAGAGTTTATTCTTGTATTTTGTTATATACATGTATTGTTAATTGTAGTCGATACTTACATCACTGTATATTAGAACGCGGAACTGGCAACATCCAAACATGTACCTAGTACACAGAGAATTGTTACGTATCAATTCCTGTATATTCCTACTTGAACAAAGAGCCTACATGTAAGCTGTAATCGGTGCAACTGCGTAACCACATGTACAGTCTCAGCAGTCTAACGTTACATCTCCCATCAAGTAAGCTGTATTTCTCAAGCATAATTTAACTTCCGGGGACATTTTGAATGAAAGGGGTTAAAAAGAAGTTCGTTGTATCGAAATAGGTCGTCTGCCAAAACTTTTGACTTTCGCGTTTTCAAAACTAAAGAGTCGTTTTTCGTTGCTAGTTATAGATCAGGGAAATAGAGAATACTACACTCATTCTCGTTAGATACCACTTTTACGAAACGAGTGGACTTTCTATGGTATCTGACCGAGCGAAAGCGAGGTTTGATAACATAGAAAGTTCACGAGTTTCGTAAAAATGGTATCTAACGAGAATGAGTGTGGTATTTTATTTATTACCCACGTTAAATATGTATGTAAGTGTAAATACATAACAACTTTTGTTCGTTGACAGACCAAACTGAAACCGGTTGCAAAATCTGGTTGCGCATGAATATTGATATATGCCCAAATATGGGCATTGCTTACATTCCTATGCATACGCATTAACAACACGCGCCTGCAGTTGTGTTTTCAAACATAACAGCACCGACGTTCAAGATCCTTTTGGAAGAATTTCTTCAACTTATGAGAATTCAAGCGCCATGTTGTTAGTACGCAGAACACCTATAAGAACATTTGAAAAGTCACATAAGCGACTTGGTCACTCGCATTGCCGGGGTCCCGTCTGTGCATTCAAAATGGTGCGGTTTCCTTGATCTATCAGCTGAATTTATATCATGTCCGTACCATTTTGGAAGAGGGAAATCAGAGTGTTCGCCAAAGACATTCATGTTTACTGTACCACCCTTTACTGAAGACGTGAAAATCAACACGCTCAAGTCTGCTTGCATGTCAGTGACAGCTTCGAACGAAAGGCATGGTCACCACCGGAATAAGAAAAGATCTACTCAGCGTTTTACGTTTGTTCACCTTTGAGATATTTGGGGCCACATAATCTGAAATCAGGCACAATTCTACGGAGTATTCGAATGGTTTGTATCGGAAATGTTCGCTTTGAGTGATCTGGTCGTGCAGTCGTGAACCAACAACTCCCGAAACAGTACCACAAAATAGACTTCAAAGAGGACACTGATGGCACAACCGGATCGTTACAAGTA